TATCTGCCGTTGAGGTGGGCTGAGAAGCGGTGGGCGGGGAGGTGATGGGGGTGTGGGAAGGGGTTCGAAAGGAATGGGGGTGGAGATAGGAGCCGAGGTTGTTAATGTGGAAGATGGTGAGATGTGGAAAGTGAAACTGAGTTCAACGGATACCCTAGATAGCGTTCAACATGCACATTACTTCACACTACGTCCCCTCGTAGGTCTAGGATTACTAGACTTGTCGCCAGAGCCGGCAGCAGCGGGACCGACAACTTGCCTCCTTCCAACTTCCACTTGACAGTTCCCCACGGTGTGCTCTCAATGACAGTCGCGTTCGGCACCAGAACCGCCACCTCTTCCACATCCACATACCCCCCGTTAACCACGCTTACCAACATCTTCCCGTCCACCACCCAGCCCGCCACATCCACCACCTCCGTCCCCTCCGGCTCCACCCCCAATATCCCGGGTCCCTCACCACCCACTACAAACCCCAACACCTCCCCCCTCGCCAACACCCTCGCCAACTCCCCATGCGCTACCGCCAGCACCTCACTCGTAGGCCACACCCACGAAATTACCCCCTTCACACCATGATTCACCGCCAACAACACCATCACCCAACTCTCCTCCACGCCCGGATCCCTCAACCAATAATTCTCGCCATGAAACGCCTGCGGATTCACCAACACCGTCTTCGGCCACCGCCCCAACCACACCCCCAACCTCTTCCACTTCTCCAACCGCCGCGGCACATCCTGCACCACCCCCTCACAGTTATCACACCCACAATCCCCATATGTCGCATTACAGGGCGTCCCCCACTTGGAATAGGTCGCGTTGATCCCGATCGGGTAGACATCAGCCATGAGCAGGTCGGCGGATGCCGAGTAGGGGCCGAAGTAGTAGTCGGCGCAGTTGAGGGTGACGGCGACCGGGTGGTACGGGTCGAGCGCGTGGATGAGGGTTTGGGCGGCCTCCGGGAGGGCGAACGGGTCTTGCCAGCCGTCGGGCTCGTCGGCGGTCCAGTAGGCGAAGAGGCCGGTGGTGGCGGGGCTGGTGCGTGCGCGCAGGTTGGGCGGGATGAGGGTGGTGTTACGGTAGATGTCGCGGAGGGAGTACATGTAAGGGAGGTTGGTTTCTGGAGGGGGGTTAGTTTGGTTGGGGGGGTTGGTGGTGGGGTTTAGAAGCAGAGCGGTATTTCAAGAGCAGGAGTAGGTGGGCATACGAGACATGTAGTCCAATATTGGGTCTGAGTCGTTGAAGCTAGTTAAAGGCGTCATGGCATTTAGGCCGAGCGCGGTGTACTGGTCGATCAAGGATGTGTCATTGTGCCGGAGAAAGCCGTCGTAGGAAGCATAGAACCCATAAGGGAAAAACGGCGTAAAAGTGTGGTTTGTGGACGGGTTACTAAAGTAGAGGCCGCCACGGAGGTTGTCGATGCGCGTCACGCTACCGTTGGGCTTGGAGGGCAGGTAAAGGAGGGTGGTCGTGGCGGTCCAAGCTGGGGTGCCATCTTCTGGGGCGCCGTAGAGAACTATTTCTATGGGAGTAAAGCTCGGCTTTAGGCGGGCAAGCTCGAAGCGAAAGATGTTGCCGGTGGTGTTGACGGGAACCGTGTTTTGCACAAGGGGCTCATCGTCCTCGGCAACATTGATGGAGAAAATCAGCCGGTTAGCCCACTTGGACGAGCTGGTGGTGTTTGGCCAGGGCGTGCCATGATACAATGAGAATTCGGCATTCACCACGAACTCGCCGTACTCCTCATTATCTAGGTAGAGGCTGTACCGCGGACGGAAGAGCACGTGGAGGAGCGGCTGGTCGGTGATAAGGGGGGTTAGAGGTGGAAAAGTCTGGCCGCCGGGGTCAAAGTTTGGGTATCTAGGCCAACTAGTTAAAAGATATTTCAGGTATCTAAAGTCAGGTTATACTCACCCAGGCTGATAAACCTTCCCACACCATCGCGGCCAGTCTGGGTGCTCCCCCGTTTGTTGGCCACTAACAATGGCAATGACTGCCGTCAAGCAGAGCCACCAGAGCCGGAACTGTTCCATGGTTGCGGTTATGCTGGGCAGAAGGGAAGGGAGGAACGGGGTTATTCAATTGTTAAAGTTGGGGTTTTCCATCCCTTGAGACCCCGCGCTCACGTAGAGGTTGCTGCAAGCACCCACTTTATCCGCAATGTGGAAAGGCGATTTGAGACATAGGTGGCTCGGTAACAGCCGTGGGGAAATTCTTAACAAATCCTGGGTCTCATTCATCAGAGTTTTACGACTGTATGTGCAACCCCGTTCAAAATCGGCGAACATCAGACGGAAGGCAGGTGCGGAGGTGCCATGTTGGCAAGCACCACTCTGTATCCGTCGGGGTCCTCAAATGTCTTGCCGCATTTGTCCCAGTAAGGATTGAAGCTCGCAACGGCCGGGAAGCCACTTTCTTTCATCCGCGCCACTGCCCTAGCGTAGCTGTCGGTCTCCGGGAGATAGAAAATGAGGAGGTTGTCTTGGGTAGGCGCCCTTCCAACGACGTGGCCTCGGCTTCGTGTGAACTCGAGGTGATAGCCAGCTGACTTGTGGCCTAGCATGACACCGTCAAAACCTTGGTGGTCGTCAAAGCTGCCGAGGATCTCAAACCCGAGACCATCACGGTAGAAAGGCAGCAGTTTGTCGATGTCGTCGGTTGGCCGTGCAATGCGGATGTGGGCAGTAGCAAGTGGCATGGTTGGCTGAGTTTCATGTGATTTTCGAGGTCACAATGACACCGGCTTTGAAAAGAACTCGGCGAGTGCAATGCACGAATAACTGTATCTTTTATCAATGGGATAGAAATAGAGAATGGAAACTGTGCCTGACACCGGCATCATCCCCGCCAAACCAGGGGTCCCCACAAAGATAAACCGAATCAAGGGCCCTTGCACGTGCCTTGCCGCCCCAAGGAAGGATGCGGTACTTGCCAAGTTAGCCGAGACACGCTAAAACACCCCCGGCCCATGCGACCACGCAGGACCCGCCAACAGATCCGATCGGCAGCGCAGCCTCCCAGCACGGCCTCCTTTGGACGCGCAAGCATCCCAGCAGCCCAGCTCGACAATCAGCAACAAAACTCCGCTGTGTCAGCTGTTTTAATTGTTTGTCGAATGCACCAACCCTTTGCTCCTGTCACCAATACACCAACGACCTCGGCGACGCTCGTTTACGTTTACTGCAGAAACCATCGTCAGCCTTAAAGACAACCGAAACCTCGATCCACTAATAGGGCTTACACCATCCCATCAATACGCAAAGTTACACAAGCCACATCCGTACCTCAAAACCACCCGATAACAAACAGACCACCACGATGGCCCCTCCGGCCCTCCGTCCTGCGATAGCTTCTCGGGCCTGGCATGCTGCCGCCCCCCACGTCGCTCGTGCCTCCGTCGCAGCCTCCTCTGCGGCCCTCTCCCGCCGGGACCTGACCGTCAACGACGCCCAAAAGGTCACCCTCGGCATCATCGCCGCCTACGTCGTCGTCATCGCCCTCCTATGGAACCTCCCCTACATCAAGTGGATTCTCTGGCCATTCAAGGTATGCCCGCTACCCTCCCATCCCCATCCCCTACCCCACTAACCCTCCCTCCCCCCTCTCCCAACAGATGCTCGTAATCGCCTTCCACGAATTCGGGCACGCCTTCGCATGCGTGCTCACCGGCGGGCGCGTCAAGTCCATCAGCCTGGACCCGCGCGAGGGCGGCGTGACGCACATGCAGGGCGGGCGCAATGCCATCACGCTGCCCGCGGGCTACCTGGGATCGTCGCTGATCGGGGCGCTGCTGACGTTCGCCGGGTTCAACATCAACGCGAGCAAGATCGCGAGCATTGTGGTGGGCGTGTGTTTCTTGCTGACGCTGTGGTGGGGGCGGCGGGATTGGTTGACGATCGCGACGGTGCTGGCCGCCGTGGGGTTGTTGGTGGGGTGCTGGTTTATTGCGCATGCGGAGGCGTTGCGGTTCGTGGTGTTGTTTATTGGGGTTATGTCGTCGCTGTATAGCGTTTGGGATATCGTGAGTTTTTGCCACCTTTTCTTCCGTCCGAGTCCTGCGGGCGATACTAACCAACCCCTAACGCACAGTGCGACGATCTGATCCTCCGCAAAGTCAACAGTTCGGACGCGAGCGTCTTCGCCCAGCGTTACGGCGGATCCTCGCAGTGCTGGGGCGTCATCTGGTCCATCATCTCCCTGGGCTTCATGGCCGCCGGCATCGTGGCCGGCATCGCCGCCTTTCCGCAGTCCGCTGCCCAGCAGAGAGAGGACTCGCAGCATTTTATCCCGACCAAGTTCTAAGCCGGCTCGTTTTCTTTTTCCGAGAGAGGGAGGCATTGGTTGGGTTTCCGCATGAAAACAGGTCCCCGGGACCGGATGACCTGAGGGGGCATAGGTGGCTTTTTGGTGCCAGGCGTTGAGAATCGGATGGAAATTAATGACTTGATACCCGGGGTACTTATTTCCTAGTGGATGGTGGGCTGGAGCTTCCAGTTTGGTCTCTTCTGTATAATAACCCGATCGATGACGTGATTACCGTGTATGACGTTGGGAGTATGAATAGAACAGCTAATGGTTTTAATGCAAAGAAACCACAGCGCAAGTATTGATACCAGAAGAAATATCACGTTTCACCCTTGCCCCCTTATGTATATTCTTAGTGACTGTCGCAATCGGTCTCCGCTGGTCAGTATCAGGCTTGGACGGCGAACTCTAGTAGACACAAAAGAAATTCGTTAGATGGGAGAAAGTAGCTTCTCCGTTATATGCAACCATGCAGCCAGCAAAAAGCCCCGGCCGGAACGGTCCCAGGGAAAATGAATGAGCGCCTTTGCACGCCATCTCCTATCGCTGTATATATCCCTCCTCGACGACACCGATGCGTACGTCCGGTTGCTATGCAATATACTTTTCGGTGGCACAGGGCTCACCCATTCCCTTGACCGGATTGAATACCTCTCCATAAACCTCCCATTCTACCGAGTAATTTGCGCCCGGGACTCTATCCCACAAATAAAGAGCAACCTCACCAGCCCACCAAACGCCATCCGCTATAAACATGCCCAACTCCTCTGACGCAGTAACCCACCCCCAAGAGCAGAGCAGCCTCGCTCGCCTGGCATGGCGGTCGATGAACCGTTTACTCTCCCTTGACCTTGAACACCTTGCCGGATTTCTCGAATATCGCGTCAAACGAGGTCTTGATCTGGTTCCTTGAACAACCCGCGTGACTTGCCGCAAACAGCTCGATCACGCCGACCTTGCTGAGGTTTGGCATGGAGCGCACAAGGTCCTTCAGTTTCTGTTGCATGTCTAATGGTAGCGGCTGCTGCGACTTCTTAGAACCCGCCGCCGCTGCTCCAGGGTTAAGAGCTTGGAAGGCATCTGCCGGGGCGGGGGGTGGTGCCATCGGGTTGGCACGGGCGTCCTGGGCGGAACTCGAGGAAGTAGAGGCAGTCGTGGCAGGTGTGGACGTGGATGCGGACGCGGCAGATGGTTCGTTACTCGTGCCGGCCTTCGGCTTGGGCGACTCCCAGTAGCTGGTCGAGAAAGGGTCGATGCTGTGATGGTGTTCGAGTGGTTCTGCATCACGTTAGTGGGTCGTTTCAGGGGAAGGACAATATTCCGCGGCATACCTAGAACAAATTCCAGGCGGTACTTGTACAATTTCGGCTCGGCCGAGCTCCGTTTGCGGTTCTCCCAGCATGGCCCAAAGCTCTCGGGCTCCATGCCCCCAGAGAAAACCCTCCTCGCTGGGCCCGCGTCTTCGGAGTCATCCAGGAAATCATCCATGTCTTCGTCCAACTCCACATCCTCCTCGTCATCGTCCAAATCATCCACGTCCTCACCCTCCTCTTCTTGCCACTCTGCCTCCGAATCATAGTCGTAGTTTAGGGGAAGAATTTTGGAGACCGGTTTTCGGGCAAGTTTGTGGAGGCTCTTCACACCTGGCGGTAGGCCGCTGATGGTGCCGATGTATGGTGGCCTCACGTCTTCCCTAAATTTGATCGACTTCATCGGCACCGACTTCAAAACCTCGAGGGTGTGTCTCATCTGCGCGTTCTGCGATTCTGTGGTTTGGTCGGAAGGAGTGCTGGTAGAAGGTCCTTCAAACTCGCTCATGATCTTCTTGACGCTCGGATAAACACGCCCACGGCGGACCTTGTACGGGATCTGAAGTGCTTCTAGCGGCTCAAAGGTTGTTGTTGGATGTTGGCGTTTCCCCGAGAGGTACTCGTCCAAAATCTCGGCTTTGGCCTCTCTTGTCTCTTCGTCCATCTCTAGGGAGTTCTTGGCCAGTTTGACATGTTCTTTGATGAAGAATGGCTTGAACATTTGATCGTAAAGTGACGTCTCCTTCGCTTCGTTCTTCGCCGTAGCACCGGTTGACTGGCCATTGTCGGATTTGGAAGCAGCCTCCTTTTTAGGGGTTATTGCCGTGCGGTTGAACATGCTGGTGAGCCTCATTTGGCTGCGTGCCTTTTTAGCTTCTTCCTCCTCTTTCTCCCGCTTCTTTTTCTCACGCTCCTCTGCTCGCTGCTTTTTCTCTTGTTCCTTTTCTGCCTTCTCAGCGGCCTTGGCAGCTTTCTCCTCGGCCTTTTGTTGCGCCTTCAGTTTCTCAGCTTCCGCCTTTGCGGCCTTTTGTTGTGTTTTAAGCTTCTCGGCTTCCTCCTTCTCTCGCTTCTTTTTTTCCCGCTCCTCGTCCCGTGTGCGCTTCTCAGCATCCCTAGCCGCCTTCTCTTCAGTAGTTAGCCGCTTCTTTTTCGGCGGCTCACCGGCTGTCGCCTTCTGTGCTGATGATTTAACTGTGGCCAGAGTAGGTTGTGCTGGTGTCGAGGGATTCGCCGGGGCCGGGCTAGGAGAGGGCGATCTGGGGTTGAGTGGACTGCTCGCTGGTTCACTCAAGCTAGAACTGGATTTTGCCTGGGGTGAAGCCAAAGCCTCGAAGGGGGTGCCTTGGACATCATTTTCTTCTGTCAGAAAACACCGGGGTTAGTCTACATCATCTCAAAGAGGGTCGGGTGCTGTTTACTGTCGCTCAATGAATGGTCGGCCTGGAGGTGATCCGAGTCCCTGAATGCTGCGGGCCCGCATGACTCTGGGTTAAGGAAATCACCATGGGATCTTTTTCTGCCGGCCAGTTCCCGGTCTTGGGCTTCGGTGGACATGGCGATAAGAGACATCGACAATGGTTCCCCGCGATAGATGGTGTAAGTGAAATCCGATAGGTTGATCAAAGGGTCCAATGCGAATAAAACTAGGATATTTGCTAGGTCATAACCACGGGTCGTCGTCGATGATGTTGTCGTGGACTGAACTCAACGGGCCGTTCGCTGTTTGGGGGTTGAATGTGGAGTTACATTGCTTTGGTAGGCAGCGATTGGTAAATTGAGCTGTGGTGCAAGCCTTGGGGAAACGCGTCTCGGTCACGCCTCCTTTATTAAACCGTGCAAATCTCGCGTCATTTCCCAGTGTGGCGCATGATGTGGCTCAATCCACAAACCAGGTTGGCTTACACCTCTCGGCCGGAACATCAGTCGACAGCCGTAAGTCTGCCTTACACTACCACAAGCACAGAATTCGCATTCACTTTCTCATAAATAAACCAAAAATGTGAGATAATAACATGTTCTGGGGCTCCCATATGGTCTAAGTTATGAAACTGTTTCCATGTTGGCCTCTACGCACATCCTCAACCAGAGGGGAGAGCTGGACTGTTCGTTACATCAGAGCCAATTTCCAATCCATTCTCACATCTAATCTGACTTTGAGCACGAGTCCCCTCTCCAAGGTCAAGTTTCTTAATCATTGTTATTTGTTCTGCACAGTACGTGCTGCATGTGTCCTGCAATGTGATCCAATTCCAGCCCAACAGTGCTCATTATCTGGTACTGCGTCATGTGGGTATCAACTAAACACAATTCTTGGTACTTCCCATGCAGTCTTGTCTCGTCATTGATGCGGCGTGAAAGGACACATGGAACGTAACATGTCAGAGACAAGAGCTCGATAGCCCTGTGCATTAATGACTCTACTATTGCATAGCAACCTCTGGCCAAAAAAGCCAGACTCGGAAGGCGAGCAAGAAATCAAGAAAAGAGAAAGAAGTAAAGAAAAACGAGCAAAAGACATCAAATAAGAGAAACCGAATTAAATAAAAAGCTGAATGGCCTTTTGCGTTCCTCTTTTCGTCGAAGGCTTATCGGCGATTACATTTGGATGTGGGCTGTTTTGCCTATGGAGTGGATAAGCAGGCCTGCTCATTCACTGGATCTCGGCAACAAGGCCGCTTCCAGCCTGTGGCCGGACGATTAACAGGCGGACATATATGTAGGATCAACTTCCAAGGCCAGTGTGCCCAAATCAGAAGGTCAACTCCAAATTTGCAAGGGTTCGCTATCATGAATACCGGGAACTAACCATTTCGTTGTCGTCATCGATTTCTTAGATCATTCTCGGCCAGTACAGGGGCCTCAACGAAATCCGTGTCAGTGAATGCAGAACGTCATGGCCGTTGCTTGTTGGTCATGATGAGGATGAAGACAATGGTAATTCTCGGCATTGATTGGTATCTCAAGTCCAGATAACCTCCCCCATCCGGCATCCCATGCATATGAGCCATTTTGAACATGCCCCCAGTTCATGACCCCTTGAATCCGTCGGGTATTATCAGACAGGAAAGCCGCATCCGAGTAGCGAGCGGCTAAGTGAAAAACAAAAACACCTAAAAGTTGTAACGACAGGGTCGAAGCGATCGTGATGCCCAGTTAAACCCTTCCAACGCCGGAGTATGCACGGCCTGAAACGACCGAATTAGATGCCTGATGTAGAGGCATAAAAAAAAAGGAAAGGCGGGGCAGTCAACGGTGGCCGAGGAGAGCTGGGCCCTCTTCGGCCTCTTGACGCTTGCCGGCGGTCGCTTAATCGGGGTTTGCGATGTATAGCCGGCCAGCAGACAGCGTCATGGTGCGCTCGTCCACACTCCCTCGTCGCTTCAGTTCGTCGACGCTCTTCACGCTCTTCTCACGCGTCACCGTAGCGTGCTTCATGCTGTTGTTGGCCAGGTGGGCCGAGTTGCCACTGAGCTCAGGGACGTTGTCCAGCCGTTCGCCGCTGCTGCCACTGGCAAAGCTCCTCGCCTTCCCGCTGGCCGAGTCGTCCACTGGGGGAGTCCGATCAACCGGTCTGTCCTCAACCAAGGATCCTGTTCGCTCCGGGGTCCCGCCGGGGCTCCACCTCGTAGCTCCACCTGCGGGCCCGATGCCCCCAGACGAGCGGTACGCCATGGCCCTCCTGCCACTAGCTGTGCTATTTCGCCCGGAGCTGCCGGTTCTCCGATGGTGCAGCTTCTGAATGGCTACCTCATCCTCTTCACTCTCCTCGCCCTCCACCTCGGTCGCGCTGAGACGTAGAGGAACACCACCAACGCCGTTAAGGTTGCTCCCCGGCGAGTAACCGATGACGGTGGGCTTGCCGTGATGCCGGATCTTAGCGGCCACCTTCCCACCGGTAGAGCTAAGACCGGTCGAAGTGCGTCCCGCGCTGACAAGTCCGAGGCCGAGGCCACTGCCGGCTCCCACAATCTCGCGATTCGCACGCATTCTTGCCGCCTTCTGCTGCGCTTGTAACCTGGGGTCTTCATATTGTGCGCGATCACACCAGACCGTGGCCTTCTGTTTCCGGAGGAGCGCGACGTAGCTAGACTGTGGTGAATTTGGTGCTCCGCCGGAGCGGCTTGACGTGGATCTCCTAACGTCTAACGTTGGCGATGTTCTGTATGCTGCTGGCGGCGCCATCCCACCGCCGCTCGAAACGGTGCTGAAAGTATTGACGCTCGGCGAGCGCCTTTGGTGGTTCATCGGGGGTTGTGCGAGATGCGTCTGCTGTTGGTATGGATTTGCCTGATACGGTCCTTGCATGCCCGCAGGAAATGTATTCGAAGATGTTGTTCTGGTGCGGCTATGAGTGTAGGACACATTCGCAGGACGATCCATGGGCGACGGGCGCCGGCGAGTATATTGGGCGTCGTACGCCGGTTCGGCTGGCCAGCCGTGCGACATTTTGGAGACGACCAGTGGCAAGTGGGCTTCAATGTAAACGCTGACAGTAACGGTCGGTTCCTGTATCTGGTGGGCGGTCGTTGGTCGGGGTTAGAGGTCGACTGACGAATTTGAGTTGTGTGCACAGAGGTTCCGGCCGGCGCAGATCACGCTAAGTATGCAGTGATCGAATGATTGACGCAGGTAATAGGCTGCGGGCGCAGTAAAGTTTGGTCGCTTCGCTTCGCGTTGATCAGTGATTGAAAATTGGGAATAATTCTGGCGCGACGAGTTTGGCCAGCTTTTGAGGAGTTGCGAAGGGGGAGAGTTGTTTGTTCAAAGAGGAGAAAGGATGTGGATGTGACCTGAAATCAAAAGCGCCCGGTCAGACTTGGCGGCTCCCACGTTGCATGCCCGGCCCTGTTCCCGGCCCTTGTTCGATGATGTGATGTGTGGAGATGATCCAAGCCAAGAAAGAGGAAGAAGTCAAAAGACTCCAGAAAAGAGGAAGACGTAAATCGGGCAAAGGAAATCAAACAAAAGAAACTGAGCAAAAAGAAAAAGAAAACTGAGTGAAAAAGAAAAGAAGAAAAAAAACTTAAGTACCTCAAATAAAAGGTAGACTTTGGGTTTCCGAATCGGGCAGCGTCGTTGTCGGCCGTCAACCGACAGACAGGCCACTTGCAAGATGAGCGTGTCGTCAACGGACGAGACTCTGCCCGCCAGGACGAAGCAATGACTAGACCGAGATGATGGATCGAGCAGTCCCTTTTTTTTTTTTTTTTTTCCTTTGGCTCAGCGTAGCGGGCGGGACTGATATCGGACCATCAACATGGGCTCAGATCGGGCGACGATCAGCCTGGTTGACGGTATGAGCTGAACCTGGGTGGGGTTAGGCCATGCGGAGGTGGGGTAGCTCTGCTGGCGGGATGCCAAATGCGTTGCCGTCCACTTTCATCGAAAATTATCATTGACCGGTCGAAGTGACGAAATTGACGCGGCGTTTTAGTTTATGATTGGAATTGCAGCCTACGCAGGCTATGGCTCAGCATCGCATTGACATCCTCTACAAGCATCCGTCATAGTATTTATGGCAGCTTCGAAACAAGGTCGCTGAGGCACAGATGCAACGTACCTTTGTTTCGCGAAACCAACATCAAAAACCGACCCAGGCGGCGAAACGCTCCGTCATCAGTTTCGCACATTGGACTGTTGCACGTAGAGTCGCACTCGCCTACTGCACAACACTGTCATTTTTCAGGCTCAAGTCTGTTTTGCCATTGACAAACAATGGCGGTTCTGGTTTGCCGCTCAGGCCAGCCTTGCAGGTGGTCAACACAGCCGTCTTATCCGCCCACTGGTTGGCCGACCAGGGGCGTGTGTCCGGTTGAGGCATCTCATTGGAACCCGCTCGCTGCTACCGTGGGGGCAACAGTGCAACCAAGGAGCATCTCCTCCTTGTTGCCGCTCTCCCCGGCGCTCGCGCGGGAAAAATCGGGCAAGTTTGGCGCGCCCACACCAGCTAGTTAGCATGAAGCTGCCGCCACTCTCATGTGGAAATAAAGCGCTGCCATGAGACAAAATATCGCAAGTCACCACCAAACGCCATCACAGCGCTGGCGAACGACATGCGCCAGCCACAGAACGGCTGATGGTCGGTCGGCCGGGGCTGATCGGCGAGTTTGAACGGGTTCTGGCCAATGATGATGCTTCCCAGTCTCGGACGCGGTGCATGCAAGCGAGGGCCTTGCGGGGCATCGGGGCATGTGGGGCCTTGTGTGGAGACTGTCTTTGTCCCTCATCCGATATTCAATTCATCGTGAGGCGTGCGAGGGTCGTCCCGGTTCGGTAGCCAGGCACGAAATCGCGCGCGCGCCTTGTTCCAGTGTCGATTCGTTCTGTGTAGCTGAAGTGGCGCCGGCGTGGGGTTAGAGGAAGGGATGTTAAAACGCCCGTAGTAACGAGGGTCTCGGTATACTCAGATTGGGACCGGCGCATTCGGCCATGTCCGGGGCCCAGGCGGCGAGCTGGTGGTGCCACCAGCCTGATACCACACATCGAGGTTGTAACACTCCAAGATGACGAAGGATTCTACCTGCGGAAGATGGCCCTGCCCGTTAATACTGAGGGGATATTATCTTGCGTGGCCGCGCTAGGCGGTGGAGGAAGCCTTTCGATTAAAGGCTGTTCCAACTAACTATACGGATTTCATATTTCGCTGGTTCGTCCCTAGTTCGAGCTCTCAGGTGTGATGGATGAGACATGGCTTCCTCTTCACGATGTCGGGGATGGACTTTCGGACACTGCTTGGTTCCCGTTACCCGACTCAGCTGGTGATGGTAAGCTTTGTGTCTTGCTTGTTTTGAAAAGCTGAGATCACCGAGCCCGGCTGAGTAACATTTGATGAGATATATCTTGAACGTCAAAGTCCGTCCGTCCTGCAAGGAAGGAACACAGCAGCAGCCACCACAGCAAGGTCTCAAAAGCCACAGAAACCCTCATTGCCCCAAGCCTGTGCTGCCCCCACTCTGGGTCTAGCTCGGTTCAACACTTGAGCTGTTGGTTCACTTGCCGGTGCCTGTTACAGCGGCACTGCCAGGGACCGCCGCGTTCCTTGCCAAGGCCTCTTACCCAAAAGTTGGGAGGAAAACTGGAAAACCACAAGAAGAAAAGCGAATTGGCGTGGTTTTCTTTCTATTACTTTTCTGGAAAGGGACGAATTACGCAGAAATTTGCAATTGCTCTACCACACCTCCTTTTTCCGACGCCCTCTCTGCACTCTCCACAACCGCACATGCCAACGCTCCTGATCGCACATGCTTCCTCCGCAATGCCGGGTTTGACGTCATGAAGTAAGAGTCCGGATGAACATAACTCTATCGTACATGGAGACCGTATTTGGAACTGACACGACCGCCAAGATTCGCCAAAGAGCTTGATCAAGACGCCGTCCCAGGTACGAATATGCAATTCCCCTTCGCGTGTGCCGAGACACCTGTGCGTTGGATCATCGCCTGTCCCACCTGCACGATTGGGTGGTGGGCATTTACGGAGCAGATGTTGGGCGATCGCCAGCGTGTTTCAGACACGTCGTTGGGCTTGGAAAGGTGCCCTGACAGCAAACTGACATTCCATCCCACCAACAGAATGGCGCGTCAAGTACCTCGACTACAAGGCCGGTAAAAAACATGTCAAAGCCGTCACGCGAGCTATCCACCGCGCCAATGCTACGCCGATATTGACGAGGAGGGGGACCGAGGCACCTCAGGCCAATACTCCGGCCACCTTTTTCGGGATAAACCATAGTTTCACACCGCCCCGGCGGAAAACAGATGCGCCAAACGGTGGTCTTGTTAGCGAACCACCTTCAATCCGACCCGGGTCTACGGCTGCCCAGCAGGGGAGGAGCACCAGTCATGGAGGAGATGAGCGGTCGGGGCTCGCTAGGACACCGGGAAGCGGCATACAATATGGCAGCATCGGGCCAACGCCGTCGCGGGCGAGCGACAGGCACGATTTCGAACTCCCCGCCCCCGCGATTAGGGACCCATCGAACACGGGCGACCGCAGCCCCTTTCCGCGTAGCGCTACGATGACAACCCCACGGCTGGACCACCGCTCCCCATCGTTGTTCACCCTTCCATCCGGCGGCGGAACAGCTACGACACCCCGCATGCGCGTCGCTCGACTCTTCTCCGCGAGCTCCACGGCCCCCCGGCAAACGCCCAACAAACTTGAGATTGGGATGCAGAATTTGGATTACGTTCGCTCGGCTGAACGCGACTTCTTCAGCTTTCTCGACAGCGAGTTGGACAAGATTGAGACCTTCTACAAGGAGAAGGAGGACCAAGCAACCGAGCGTCTGGCTGCGCTTCGAGCACAGCTGCATGAGATGCGCAACAGGAGGACCGCTGAGATCGCCGAGTCGAAAGCGAGAAAAAAGCAGGGCCATAATATCGTTCGCAGCGATGACGATGACGCCGGAGGAGGGCGACCGAAAAATGATAATCGTGATTGGATCAGTCCGATCAAGGATAGGTTCTCCAGGACCGGTCCTAATTCGAAGGCCCTTCAGAGAATGGCACGGACTCCCGTCATGACCGGCCAGGCAATGGACGAGGGCCGAGACTATGTGCGGCAGCCCCAGGGCGACGATGTTCCGTACCGGACGGCAAAGCGGAAGCTCAAGCTGGCCATGCAGGAATTCTATCGCGGCCTTGAGTTGCTGAAATCATATGCTCTACTGAACCGGACGGCATTTCGCAAACTCAACAAGAAATATGACAAGGCGGTAAACGCCCGCCCGCCTTACCGCTACATGAACGAAAAGGTAAGCAAGTCCTGGTTCGTCAATAGCGACATTCTAGACGGCCACATAAGTACCGTGGAAGACTTGTATGCCAGATACTTCGAGAAGGGCAACCACAAAATCGCTGCTGGAAAGCTCCGAGCCCTACAGAAGCGCCACGGGGATTCGTCGGATAGCGCATTCCGGAGCGGCCTGATGATCGGCATCGGCGCAGTTTTTACCGTCCAGGGACTCATCTACGGCTCCGAATTTCTGTTTAGCGAGGAGGACGATAAGCTAGTCGAACAGACGAGCTACTTACTGCAGCTATACGGCGGGTATTTTCTCGCGCTCCTCCTCTTCACCTTGTTCACTCTGGATTGCCGGATGTGGGCGAAGAACAAGGTCAACTATCCGTTCATCTTCGAGTTTGATGCGAGGAACTTCCTTGACTGGAAACAGGTGGCCGAGTTTCCCAGCTTCTTCTTTGCGCTGTTTGGCGTGTTCATCTGGCTCAACTTCTCGAGGCTGGGGGATTGGGAAGGGTTATATCTTTATTACCCCGTTGTCTTGATAGGCATCTCGCTGGTCATCATCTTTTTTCCGGCGCCGATCTTGCATCACAAGGCCAGGAGGTGGTTTCTGTACTCTCATGTACGCGCCCGCTCCAATCGAAAACCCCAGTTGTTCCGACTTGGCTGACGATCTCTACAGTATCGCTTGCTTTTGTCGGGTTTGTATCCAGTAGAGTTCCGGGACTTTTTCCTGGGCGATATCTGGTGTTCGTTGACCTACGCGACTTGTGTACGTAGCCACCCCCTTTTCCCCGTTGGCCAAACCCCAAACCACTTTTCAGATCGGCTGACCTCTCTCTAGAACATCGAGCTCTTCTTTTGCTTGTACGCCAACAGTTGGGGCGACCCAGAGCAATGCAACTCGTCGCATTCGCGTCTCCTCGGCTTCTTTGCCGCTCTCCCCCCAATATGGCGTGCCCTGCAATGCGTCAGGCGTTACCGCGACACGCGGAATGTGTTCCCGCACCTCGTCAACTGTGGAAAGTACACCATGACAATCCTCACCGCGGTCTGGCTCAGCCTCTATCGAATCGGTGACACGCACACCAACCTGAGCTTCTTCATCGCCTTTGCGACCATCAACGCAGTGTACTGCTGTAAGGTGCCTCTTTCTTGAACTCTAGGATTTACCACTAACAAGGCGTTAGCAATCTGGGATCTGTTCATGGATTTCTCTCTTCTGCAAGCCAACGCCCGGCGCAGGTATCTCCGCGACATCACGGCAATCCGCCCCGTCTGGATTTACTACGTCATCATGGTAATCGACCCCATCCTGCGCTTTTCCTGGATCTTCTACGCCATTTTCACCCACGACACCCAGCACAGCACCATCGTCTCCTTCCTCGTCGCACTCGCCGAGGTCGTCCGCCGTGGCATGTGGACCCTGCTGCGCGTCGAGAACGAACACTGCGCCAACGTCGCCCAGTACAAGGCCGCCCCGCGACACTCCACTCCCTTACCACCTCGAGCTATTTGTCCAGCGCCCCAGCCTTGAAGCGGCAACCGCCGCCGCCGCGCCCGTGGCCACCCTCGACGGCACGCCCGTCACCACCACCACACCCAAACCGGCTGCACCGTCCACGCCCCACCCCAGCACCGCGGGACGCCCGGGCACCGCCGGCACGGCCGACACCCTGATGCTACCCACGGCGGCCGCGCGCACCCCGCGCAGCGATGGCGGCGCAGCAGCAGGAGGAGGAGGGATGCCACCGTCCCCCTCACCCGGCATGGCCACCGCGACGGCGACGGCGCTCGAAGAAGGCGGCGGCGCGATCCGGCCGGGCGGCACGTTCCGCCGGCGGCGTGCCGACACGCTCGGCAAGATGTCGATTCGCCAGGCCATGGCGGAGGCGCATAAGCAGGACTTTGAGAAGAGGCGGCCGGCGTGTGGGTGGCGGGAAGGATAAAGCGGCGGGGGTGGGCGATGGGGAGGCGGTGGGGGATGTGTTGGGGAGTGAGGATGATGAGGATGAGGAGGAGGAGGAGGAGGAGGAGGATAGTGGGGTGGGATGAGGTGGCATTGAAAGAGTGATGAGGAGGAGGAGGGGGCAGGAGGATGGTGATGTGAGGGGGGAGGAGAGGAGGGCGTTGACGATGGGGAAGGGTCGCGAGGAGAGGGGAGGCGGAGAGGGGGTTGCGGAAGTAAGGGACGTAGTGATGGGTAATGAGTGTGCACACGGGTGTGTGGTGGGTAATATGGCTGGGTGCAAAAAGTTCGAGAAGCAGGACCAACAGCAGCTGAGCGTTCGGAGGGAAAATAGAGTGGTGGGTATACATGGATACGAGGGTATTTTGTTGTTCAGAGGATACACGAGCATCTGCTATGATTGAAAGACTTATAGGGCGGGCCCATGCATACATGCCGAGCATGGTTACTTATATTTTCAACATCTACACCCCAACATCTGAGAAACGGCGTTTATTAAAAGATCTTGCTCATATGCTACAGTCTAGAGCCGCTCACGCTATCTGTCATCCATACCATAGAGTACTGTACCGTACCGTATCTACCACTTAGCTTATCACGTCCATAGATATCTATCCTCTTAATCGATCTGAAATCACTTCCCCGACCCCCCCCATCCCCATTCTAACGATCCCACCCCCACCCTACCTACTTACGCCACTCCTTATCAACAGCATCCCAATGATCCAAAAAGCCCTTGTAGAACTTGATGCCCAGGCCGGGGTCCAGACTCCCCGTGGTGGCGCGGATGCTGTGCATGCTCAGCTGGGGGATGCCGACGTCGGCGGCCTTGCAGCCCATGGCGGCGCTGAGCATGGGGCCGACGGTGCCGCCGGAGCGGGAGTCGTTGCGGATCATGTGGCGCTGGTTGACGCAGCCGGCGAGGGCGGCCACGCGGTCCAGGATGGCCATACTCACGCTGTCGGTCGTCATGTGCGCCGACGCGTCCACGCACAGCGCCACGCCCACGTTGAGCCGCGGCGAGTGCTCCGAGAGGTTGGTCTGCGGGAAGTTGGGGTGCGCCGCGTGCGTCACGTCCGACGAGACCAGGAACGATCCGGCGTAGGTCTGGCCCATCAGCCCCGGCCCGAAGGACGCACCCTCGGCTTTGTTGGCCAGGCTCTCGACGGCGCGCTCGATGGTGATGGGCAGGAAGTTGCCGCGCGCGCCTTGGCGGAGCAGCGAGCCGATCTCCTCGTCGTCGAAGAGGGCGACCAGCTTGATGTTGCTCTCGGAGGGGTCCGACTTGGCGTGCAGGAGGGCCATGAAGGCCGCCCAGGAGCAGAGCTTGTCGTCGATGCGGCCGGCGAAGATGAACTCCTTGTCGAGACCGCCGACGGCGGCGGGCTGGCTGTCGAACAGCTCGAGCTCCCAGTTGAGGATGGTGCTAGGGTCGCTGATGGAGAGCTCCTTGCTGATGAGCTTCACGAGCTTGGGGGGTTGCGTAGAGGCGAAGGACCCCTGCCCACCGAGGGGCTGTGCGGAGGATGAGGAAGTGGTGGCATTGATGTCGCTGTTGTCAAGGCCGATGATGGGCACCATCTCGGTCTCGCGGTTGTTGTGGCCGGTCATGCTGAGGCCGAAGTGAGGAGCGAGGGTCGGGATACGGGCGACTAGCACGTGTTAGTAGGGTGGTCATCATCCATCAACTTGGGGACGGATCAACATACTCGGCCAATCAAGCTTAACCAGCTTCACCGTCGTCTTGCCCGTCTCGGGGTCGCGCACAATGACGCGGCCGCCAATGCTCAGATCACGATCCCACCATGTCTCGTTTAGGGCGCCAGCGTACTGCGCGACGCCCAGCTGGACATAACCGTGTGTGTTTGGCTTCTTGCTCGTGGGCTTGAGGCGGGCGGTGAGGGCGTCGATGTGACCGGCGATCATGGCGACGCCATTGCCAGGCTTGTAGGCTTCACCGACGGCAAAGGCGATGATGGAGCTGCCGTTGCGGGTGGTGTAGTACTTGCCGCCGGGCTCGAGCTTCCCGGCCCAATTGTCACGACTGGAGAGCTGTTTACAACAACGTATTAGTCAGGGACAAAGCTGAAAGGAAGCCATTGGCTATGGGTGACTAACCTCCTTATAGCCAGACTTGAGTAGCTTCTCCTTGAAATAGTCGACGGCGTGGAAGACGGTGGGGTTCTCGGTCATGAAGTCGAGATACGGCTTGATGAAAGCCTCGGGTCGCAGGTCCTTCGCATCGACCCTGTTGTCGACGACCTCGGCGCGCATCGTCATCGACTGCTCCATAGCTAGAGACCGCAGCGAGAGGTTGGAGCTGCGTGCCCGTAGGAACTCGGGGGTGTGACGAGTCATGGTTGCGGTCGTTGGGATGGTTGTTGGTTATTAGGTTTGAGGACTGGCTCGGAGCAATGGAAACGTGTCGTGTTAAGGAGAGCTGGAGGTGAGGGAGTGAGGGAGACGTGGTGATGCCGAAGACGGAAGGAAGGCCATCGGGGGGTGCTGGTTACAATGGGAGAGTGGCTGACTAGCCCCGGTGGAGTGGTCTGCTGACCGCTGTGCTGGGGGCCCGGGGGAGCTGGCTCGGCTGGGAGTGCTGGGGTCGTAGGGTTGGTCAATCATTGGAGTGAGTTATGGCGATTAGGTGTGCCGATGTGCGCCAAGGATCTGTTGCTATGGCATCGAGATCTGTACAACAGTAGGGATGGAGATTGTGATTGGGATTTCCTGTTCTACGTTTCTGAACATCGACTACCTAACCTATTATACAATTAAGGGTCTATACGATTTTAGTTAGAGCTTTTTGCCCCCGATCGCACGGGCATTTGTTGAACTGTCAGGGCAGCCGCAAACATCAGAGGGACCTGGCCTGGCGCGGGCCGTCAAGGCAGACGCAGGGCCGACGCAAGTGGATCTCTTGGCAGTGAACGGCACACGGGCCATGTTGTCCCGCGCCGTCATGCCACGCATACTACCCATGCTCCGTGCGCCGAGGTGGATGTGGGGGCCAACTGCACTTGGAACCAACCGCTGTAACGTTCAGCTCAGGGGGACTCGGGGGGCAGTGAGAGGATGACGCAGCATTCCCAGAGTCCCGGGCTCACCGGAACCTCAAAATGCCCTTGGAAATTCTCGACTTGGCTTTCTGCCGAGGCACATTTCTTTTGATTCAAAAGCAAGTTATTCACCAAGGATGCCGTAAATATAGCGTTTTCTAGAATTTTGTTTTCGTCAGATAGCAAGTGCTTCAATTTCTATTCGAGATATATACTCTTTTTATTTCTTCTAGTCTATACCCTGTTTTGTTGGTGAGTAGAATACTGTAAATCAGTCGTTGAATTTGGTCGCGTGAGGTGTTGAGGTAGGTCGCACATCCTATGAAAAATGTCTTGTGTTTATTTGAGCTTCTCATCGCTAACATTGAACCCAGTATCCTTTATCTACACGGCCTTAAGACTCAGATTCGCGAGTAGCACACACAATGGCGTCGTTCGTGTCCAGTCTTAGTCCGGTGCCCGCCTTCCCAGAGTATCAAGGTCCCTACAAAGTGGGCACAGTCGACGTCGAGATACCCGTCTCTGAGCTTGAGTCCCCGAGTTCTGTGCCAGATGGCTCTTCTCATATCCATACCATTCTGTTCAGGATATTCTACCCTGCCGTGCCCGAATCTCAGGGGAAACGGGTATCCTGGCTGCCAGCACCGCAGCGCCTCCATATCGCTGCCTATGCGCAGTTCCTAGGAGCAGGAAATACCCTAGCATCCCTCCTCTCGTAAGCTTAACTCAACACATTCCTAGCCACACGCACGGATTGCTAAGTGAGAGCAGCTTTCTCCCCCGACACCTCCACTGGACCTCCATCCCAGCCCACAAGAACGCCACCCTCCTCCCTCCCCCATCCGACCGACCCACGGCAAGATGGCCGACCATGCTCTTCTCCCACGGCCTCGGCGGCAACCGCAACGCCTACAGCCACCTGGCCGGCTCACTAGCCTCGCACGGCGTCGTGGTCGTCTGCCCCGAGCACCGCGACGGCAGCGCCGCCCTCACCCTCGTGCGCGACCCCCAAAGCCGCGCCCCGCAAACCACCCAACACGCCGTGCCCTACCTGCGCATCGCCCACACCCAGACCCCCGACGCCTGGTCCGCCCGCACCAAACAACTCCGCGTCCGTCTCTGGGAACTCGGCCTGCTCTTCGAAGCCCTCACCGCCCTCGACCGCGGCGCCGCCACCACCCCCTCCTCCCAACCCAAACTCATCAACCTCACCACCGCACCCCCTTCCGCCCTCGCCCAGTTCGCCCACGCCCTCGACATCCACACCCCCGGCCGCGTGCTCTTCGCCGGCCACTCCTTCGGCGCCGCCACCATAGTGCAACTGCTGAAATCCGCCTTTTACGCGCCCCTCGCCAAGGCCCAGGCCCAGACCAAGACCGCCCACACGGACACCGACACCGACACCGACACCGACACAGAGACCGATACCAACCCCGACGAGCCCCCCGCCACCATCGGCGCGCTCTTCGCGCCCCACCCCACCAGCGCCATCGCGCGCCAGGTAACCGCCCACACGCCCTCGGTGCTGCTCGACATGTGGTGCTTCCCGCTGGTGGCGGCTGAGGGGGACGCGTTGGCGAGGCTGCCGCTGCCGTGTTACTCGGAGGGGGAGGGAGAGGGGGAGAAAGCGTCGTCGTCGCCGGGGGGGCGGGCGGTGCTGGCGGTGGAGTCGCGCGCGTTTTTCAAGTGGACGGAGCATTTGCATGCGAAGGCGAGGATTTTGTCGCCAAGGCCGGGGGGGAGGGGGGTGGTCACTGGGGGGGTGTTTCGGAGGGGTGGAAGTCTGGGTGGGGAGGGGGGGGGAGGATGGGGAGGAGGGTCGGGAGGGGGGCAAGGGGTCCTGGGGCCCGGCCGCACTTCTTCTACGTCGAGTCGTCGGCCCACCTCAGCCAGAGCGACTTTGGCGTGCTGTTCCCCTGGCTGACGAAGCGCGTGTTCAAGTCGGACAACCCCGAGCGCGTGCTGCGGCTGAACGTGCGCGCGGTGTTGCAGTTTTTGAGGGAGAATGGGGTGCCGGTGGCGGGGACGGGGAGGGCTGCGCTGGTGGATGGCGGGCATCCTGGTATGAAGGGGGAGTGGACGGAGAAGGATGGGATTATTCTTGAGAGGTGTAAGGAGGGGGAAGAAAAGGTCGATGCGTGGAAGTGGATTGATGTTGTCGGGCTGGGAGCGAAGGCAGGGCCGTCTGAGTTGGAGATAAGGGAGAAGGGGAAGGAAGAACGCGAGGTTAAGGCGGAGGAGGGTGAGAAGGAGATGCAGGGCGAGATTGAGCCTTCGTTGGAGAGTGTGGCCGAGGGGGCGGCCGTGCATGCCACTAAGGAGTTGGTTGGTACGGAAAAGTGAGGTCCTAGGTTCGGGGTAGATCATCTGCTTATTTTGGCGAGGCGCTGGAGGATAGAGCATCATTAAAGGGGTTTCTTTTTTTATCAGCATCATGTTATCTCATAGACTCTGTATTTTGAATCTAGCAACCACGGCAGCAGCTGGCTGCATATAAATCCCAACCCACCACTGTTCTACATTCTCGGTCCAACCGCGCAAGTACAAAGGATATGAACAGCGTCGTCAACGGACTGCTATTTCACCACCTCGACGGAGAACACCATCACGGAACACAACCCATGCCAACAAATGAAAAGGGGTACCAAAAGAATGGGTATCAAACGGGGTATCAAAAGGAAGGGGTATCAATAGTGTGGGCATCAATAGTAAAGAGGAAATCCCTCCGCGTCCAACGGTATCGGCTCCAGATCAAGCTCAACTCCCTTCAGCCAATTCTTCACCCTCCTCTTCGGATCGACCCTGAGTTCCTTTTCCGCCCTGACCCTGGCATGCAGCTTCTTGGCGAGTGCTACTGTCATCTTGTTTTTGACCACGGGCATGCTTCCGCTGTTGTTATGATCCCCCCCTTGCTGCGGTTGGTCACCGTTCATCTCTGTCGTCCATGGGATGTTGTTGTTGGCCGTGGATTTGGTTGCCTCCGTTTTGGCCCGGTTTTTGCGGCTGCGGCTCTCTTGGAGAAGACGCATTACCGGGCCGACTGGCCTCTTGTTGGTGTTTCTTTTGATGTCGTTGTTTCTGGTGCCAGGGACATTGGTTGCCTGGTAAAGCGGTGCAAGTGTTGTTTCAAACTGGTTGCCGTCTTCTACCTCTCTGGGGAGAGTGACCAGTGTCCTGCCGCTGGAAGCTGACATGTCTTCTGTTGGGTGGCCGGTCGAAGCTGTTAATATCGTGGGCCAGGAGTTCTTGGGGGACGTCGGGTCCGGAATCAGGCTGGGGGTTGGGCTGCCTAGGGACTGCTCTGCGATAGGAGAGAGAGGTCGGTTGAGTTCACCGATGGATGATGTCGGAGTGCTGTCTTGGGTTGGGGCGGGCTCTTGATGGCCTGGAGTGAACTGGTACTCCCAGGTTCCTGGCTGTATGTTAGTATTTGGTTCCAAGGAAGGTTTTCCGATCTAACATACCATTCCGGGCTTCCCTTGCCCGCCAGAAGTAGTTGCCGTCATCGCTCACATACCATTCTGACCATGGGTTTCCATTCTTGACTCCCGTATTTTTCGAGTTTGGCTTCTTCGGTTTGCTGGGTTCCAATCTGACTTTGCCTCTCGTTTTGACGTGGGCAGGTGTCATCAGTGCCTCCCCCAGTCCCTCCGTCATCGGTGCCATCTTCTCAAGATGTATCTGGGGAACCTTGCTGGGCGGTGGTGGTTTTGGCGCACGCCTTGGCGGCTGGGGTGTGGGAGTCCTGAAGAAGAACCAGGCGAAGTCCCGGTTTGGGCTAGTCGTCATGTAATACTCGCGAGTCTTTGCAGGCATGGCGGATTAGAGAGGGCCCCGGGTGGACTACGGGTAGGGGGCTGGCGGGGGGCAGTGAGTTACCCCTGAAGTATGGTTTCACGGTGTGGTATGCGGCGCCAGGGTATTTGGATCGGCTCCTCAACGGCGCCGAGAGGATGTGAAGGGCAGGTGGCTATAGCCTCGCAAGATGGTTTCTTGTTTAAAGGCGGGTGTGTGCGCCGGCTTACAACGGCGAGGAACCTTGAGGACCAAGCCTTACTGCAGGGTCTAAGACGGAGCTGCAGTCTATATGGGGTGGTGGCCTTACGACAGAACGAAAAACAAGGACATCAGCAGCCTCACGACACACAAGGTGGTTGAAAGTGGCAAGGCCAGTAATTGGAGCGAACATTATGCGGCACTGCCGAACTTGACTCCCAATCAAGCACAGGAGCGACCCAAGCCTCTTTAAGAAAAGACGTTTACACCTGTTCGTTGATCCGGGAAGAGCGAGCAGAATTGCCAACTCTGACGTCAACCTATCATGGCGGTCTCACGCTGCGGCGGTGCGTAGGGCTTGCTGCCCAACGGTGCCAGCATACACACCGGAAATTTATGACTGCAGCGCCGGGCACCTATCACGGCGCCCAACCCGGTTTCACATGACCAGGAACTGCCAAACCGGAGAATTTCGGCCAACCCATGCCTTTTGGCAAACGGCATCCCTCCGTTCCCGTCTTCTCGAGCCCCGGGCCGCTGCCACCGGCATACTTATGCCCTAAGCCGCTTGGCCCGGCCGCCTCAACAGTTTTCAATCGGTTGCATTGATCAATAAATGGGAGAAAGGGGTCGGATGATGACTCGGAGCCGTCTTGTATGGAAATTCGTGGCTTCTTTCCAGCCAGCCCGTGTTACGCGATGAGGCTCAATACAGGCGCTGGGGTTGGTCGATTAAACGGTTTTCGTCGGTGTTGAAGATGGAAGATGAAGAATGGATGGAAGCATGTGTCGAACGAGAGCTGCGACTGAGTGCCAAAACCGGAAGAGTGGGTCCCCTTACCCGCGCCAAGCCTTGCCGCGAGCTACGGAAAATCAACGGCAGCATCGCGCTTCAACTCAAACCACAGCATCAGTTCAGCCAATCCACCGCCAAACCACAACGGCGAATCGACGACATTCTCACCGCCCGATTTTCCACCGCACTCTAATACACCACCATCAAGATGACGTCCACCATCGGCATTCCAATCAAGCTCCTGAACGAAGCTCAGGTGCGTTGCGCAATTCCCCATCCCTCCCACCCCACCGCAACCTCCCAAGCCGCCCAGCTAACGATGCGCCACCACACCACAGGGCCACATCGTCACCCTCGAAATCACCTCCGGCCAGACCTACCGAGGCAAGCTGATCGAAGGTACGTTTCCCCCTCCCCTCCCCTCCCGCACCGGAATCAACCATGCTAAGAAACAACCCCAAACAAAACAGCCGAGGACAACATGAACGTGCAGCTCAAGGACATCACAGTGACGGCGCGCGACGGGCGCGTCAGCCATCTGGAGCAGGTGTACATCCGCGGCAGCCACGTGCGCTTCTTTATTGTTCCGGACATGTTGAGGTGCGCGCGCTTCCCCCAGCGCTATGAATACGGTGTGGGATTAGCTGAGCTGACATGCGCTTGTTTTTTTTGTTTTTTTTAGGAATGCCCCTATGTTCCGTAGCCGCAACGTCCGCGGCAGGGGTGTCGGTCTCGCCCGAGGAAGGGCGACGGTTAGCAGGGCAAGGGCTGGTGGTCGCGGTGGGAGGTAAAAGGGGGTTTTTGGTTTGCTGGTGGTTGTGTGGGATCAAGATGGTTATAGGGAGGGGCGTCGTAATGGCCGACATATTTGGCGTTCGGGGTTAAATAGCTGCAGATGCCCGGGCGGTTTTGGGAAAATGGGTGATGGAAGGTGGGGGAAGGAGAGCTCCGGCGAGATGGGCCGGCATGAGGCAGCGCCGCCCGCTACGGACGTGATGTGAGGTTTGGCCCTGAGCGCTGAGGGTACGTATCATGTCTTTTCTTCGGATATGGTATCTCTTCGTTCGGGGCTGACGCCAGCCAGTCAAGCTCGGGCCGCCTCGAGACTCGGCAAATCTGCAAGTCTCTCCCATCTAGACAAATCTGCATGCAAAAATTACATGTTATACACGGCGAGACACGCCCGCCAACTCTATTTTATCCGCGCGTACGCTTCCTCCGCTCGCGTGATGATCTCCTCGATCTTCGACAGCTCTTTCAGCTGCGCACTCTGGTCCGCCTGGGGATCAAGTTTCTTGCCCGCCTTGTCTAAGACCTCGGCAATGCTAGTCTCCGTTGCGCGGATCGCTTTGCGGCCCTCTTCGCGCACTTCCCCCTCCCAGTACTCCCTGGCAGAGTCCCACTTCTGCTGGAAGCGCTTGAAGCTGAACACGATGCCCAGCGCCGCGATCGCCCCGCACTCGTAGGCCCCGAGCGCCGAGAGATAGGAGAGACCTGCTAGGGCCGTGCTCAGCCCGGCCAAGCTCGCAGACTGCACAACAAGCTTCTGTGCCAAGGCTTGTAGGGCAGGTACTGTCTTCTGCTGTAAATAATTCCTGGTGAATGGGATGTGGGACGGCCAGTTGTTGGCCGCGCCGGGCGTGACCGTGTCCTGGCTTTGATGCCCGATCTGAGGCAAAGCCGGACCGGCGTATAGAGGTCCTTGCTGGCCCGCCCCAACGCCAGCCTCCTGAATACGGCCGGCAAGGTAAATCACCCCCTTTTCCGCCTCAGGGAGGAAGCGCAGGGCAACCATTTCCGATGTAACCATGCCTACGTCGTCGGCTCGCCAGAAGAGCTTCCACCAACCGAGCTTACTCCAGGGCGGCGTAGCAAAGGCGACATCCAGCTGTTGCTGTAGCTCCTGGTGAGCGTTTTGTGCCCACTCCGCCAGGGCCTTGTCCAGGTGGGCAATAGACCCCAGTGGAACCCTTGTGCGTAGTTCCGCCGTCAAATCGCTGGCCTCCTCTTGCTGTACGGCTGCCCTAGCATTCCGCAAAAGCGAGCCGATCAAGTTCTGGACCGGCGCCTTCATAACCCCTTCGTCACTCGGCAGGGCGCTCTTCCTCAGCCACTCGCTGACAGGGCCGATGTTGGCCTCCGTCCACAAAGTCTCGTACTTCCTCGCATTGCCAATATCAGCGCGGAAAAGCTCCAAACCTTCCCTCGCAGTGTCCACATTGACCGCGACAAGCGGACAGCCTTCCAAATCCTCCCTCCCCACCTTGCCAAAATTCACCACCCCTGCAATCACATCCCTCCCCTCTACAACCGGCAGCGCCAGAATCGCCGCCGCCCCACGCACCCCATCCCCCACCAACAGCGCCATATGCACCGGCGTCCCCACGGCCGCCACATGCCCCGCTGTCGTAGCAGCCACCCCCGCCGCCGGCACCAGCACCGCCTCGTCCACCACACCCCCGGCAGCCGCCGTCGCCAACGCCGGCCCCGCCCCGGTAACAAGCATCTCCAGCTCCGCCCCGCGCGGCAGCAGCGGCGTCGAGACCCGCAGCTCGGGGATCACATGCCGCTGATCCCGCCGCCCCGTGCGCAATCCCTCTACCTCGGTTTTCATTTTTGCTTCCCCAGACGCCGCCGCAACCCGCACAACGATCGGCTGGGCGGCTGCGTCATGCCCTTCTAGCTGTGCCTCCCATGCTGCGGCGGGCTGGAGCGGGTCGGCGAGGGCTAGGCGGAGGAGGCGGGTTGCTGTTGATGTTGCGGATTTGGTTTGGTTCGGTTGGTTGTCGGTGAGGCTGAGGATGGCGACACGTACAGATTCGTGGCCGGGTGGTTCGGTTAGGTTGCGCAGGGCGAGCTGTAGGCGGGGGAGGGAGACGTGGTTGGGTGCGTGGGTTTGAAGGTCGAGGAGGGCGCGGTGGAGGTCGGTGCGGGGGTTGCTGTTGGAGGAGGAGGTGGTGGTGGCGGTGGATTGGTAGCGTTTAGGGGGTTGTTGTTGGTGTTGGTGTGGTTGTTTTCGTGGACGGAGGGCGGTTGTTGATAGTGGGGCCGAGAAGAGGCGTTGGGGAGGTGAGTGGGAGCAGAAGAGACATATTGGTGGTGATTTTGTTTTTGCTGATTGAAAGCCCCGACTCCGATTCAGCACCCTTCCAAGGGCCATTGCTGGCGGCATGGCGGGCGAGCTGGTTCAAAGCGCCAGCTTTACCTGTCGTTGGGTGGGAACTTCAAGATGCAAGATGGAACAAAGACGAAGTGGGTTGAGCTCTGAGCTTTTTGCCGGAAAGATCCGGTAGCTTGCACTGGGCCCAGTGCCGGCACGCACGGACTGGGCCGCTCAATGCAGGGTAGGTAGCAGGGGGGTCGTCCCAGACGTTCAACCCCCACCACCCCGATTCCGACATCCATCATCATTCCATCATCAGCGAACCCAGCGAAACAGCGCACCAAAAACTCTCCAGCTCACCTCCAAACGCCCGCGCACGCCAACAGCACGGGTATCCCATCCCACCACCCTCAACCACAAACCACAACCCCAACCCGCCCCTCTCTCGACCACCTCCAAAATGGCCCAATCCACCGCCCACCGCCGGCTGCTGCAAGAATACCGGGCGCTGACTAACAACCCGCCCGAGGGCATCACGGCGGGTCCCGTGTCGGAGGACGACCTGCTGCACTGGGAGGCGCTGATCCAGGGCCCCGAGGGCACGCCGTTCGAGGGCGGCGTCTTCCCGGCCGAGCTGCGCTTCCCCAAGGACTACCCGCTGGCGCCGCCGACCATGAAGTTCCTGGGGGAGATCTGGCATCCGAATGGTACGCTCTGCATAATCCTCATCACTCACTTCTGGTTTTATTGTTGTTTGTTTGTTGGTTTGTTTTGGGGGAGGTATGCTGACAGAATACGGTTTAGTCTACCCCAGCGGACTGGTATGCATCTCGATCCTGCACCCTCCCGGCGATGATCCAAACCACTACGAGCACGCGTCGGAGCGGTGGTCGCCGATCCAGAGCGTTGAGAAGATACTCATCTCGGTCATGAGCATGTTGGCCGAGCCCAACGACGAGAGCCCTGCGAACGTGGAGGCGGCCAAGATGTGGCGGGAGCGGAGGGAGGAGTACGAGAACACGGTGCGGGATGGAGTGAGGCGGATGCTGGGGCTGTAATTGGGGATGTGACTACGGGGGAACATGGCGTTGCTGGGGTTTCATTTTTTTGAGTCGATTTTGCATGGCATGGAGTCTACATTGACAGCATGGACGTAGTTGGGCACAACCAACTGAGTAACCAATTCCCGGTATACCTATGATGACCCTTGATAAATCCGAGGCTTGGGATGCACCTACACCAATTCTTCAAACCCGCTTGCTTATCGCTGCGCTAACCCACTCATGATCATGACTACAAGCCCCCTCACATGTTGTTTTCTGCTTTGAATTTATCCCACGCCTCGTTAAGCGTGCTAAACACTGTCCCGGCAATCATGCGCACCTCAGTCGTAGCATCTTGGGAGATCTAGCAAATCAGTTAGCAACCGTGCCCCTTGCCATGTACAACACTCAGAATAACTCACCTTGTCAGGATGCGTCTTAGCAATGGCCTTCATGTAGATAATCTTCACCTTCTTCGCCACGACTAGCTCATGCAGCCCGACCTTCGTCCACCCGCTCCCCTCCCACAGCACTGCATCCAGGCTGCCGAGCAGCGCGCGTAGATTGTCACGCTTACCGTCCCGCCAGGCCGCGATGCGCGCGTCGACCTTGTCAGTTAGCGCGAGCTTCTCGTCGCCTTCCCGCTCGGCCGCCTGGTGCGTCGCCCGCAGACGCTCCACCGCCTCGAAGCTCTTCTGGGGAGTGGTGGATGGTCGGGGACGCGGAGTAGCTGCCGGCCGCGTCGAGGCGGGCCGGGGTGTTGGCGCGGGCTTCGGCGCGAGGGCTTTCTGGCAACGCTGCCTCCCGGCTGCAGCAGTCGCTCCGCCCAGGCCAGCCTCGACGCAGAGCTGCCAAACGACAGCGGCGTCGGCCCACTTCTCCATCTGCTCGAGCGCTTCGGCCTTGCGACTGAGCGCTTTGCCGTAGAGGTCACGCATGTCGCGCTTCTCGCCGGGCGCGCCATTCTCTCCTTGGAGGTCGACCTGCTCACCTTCGCCTTTACCTGGACCAATTAGACGGATGGCTGTGTCGGCATCCTCGACTGCTTGACGCGGCTCGCCCGTCTTGAGTGCTGTCAAGGCACGGTTGCAGAGCAGGAGGATGCTTAGGGGGTGGTCTTGTGGAATGGCAGTCATGGAGGAGGTGTATGAAGCGTGAGCGGCCGCGAAGTCGCCGCGTTTGAAATGTGCGGTGCCCTCTAGGCGGCATTTTGTCGAATTTTGCAAAGCAATGGGTGAGATATTGGGTATCTGGCGAACAGGGCGAGGCGGCGCAGGTTTGGGAGCAGGAGACGGCCGGGCTGCGGGCCGAGGAACTGGAGATGCTTGTGGGGACCGGGCCGGTGGTGTAGGTCGGGACGTCGAAGGGGCTGCGCCAAAAAGCAGGTCCGGCTCTGGTTCATCGAACCTGGCTTCTGGCTGCGGCTGTGGGGTCGTCTTTTTCCTCCGGGCTGGGCTAACGTATGCTTGGAAGCTCTCCTCCTCGGCTGTTTGTTTGCTCACCCGGGCCCGCGCATTCAAGGGGGGCTGTGAAACCTGCTGCCATTTCGGAACCTGGCCCCCCTTTCCTGGTCGAGCCGGCAAAGCCGGCGAGCGTTCACGGGACGGGGTACCGCTAGAGTCCCGGCTCTGGGGCGCTAGCCTCCCTGATCTTGCTTCTGGCCGGCCTCCCGACTCCAACATCAGAGCCTCGTCAGTGACGTCGGGCACCTGTCTCCTGGTGCCTCCACTGGCACCATGATCCTGGTTGGGCCGCATCCACTTTGGCTGGCTCGGGTCACCGTCCTGCTGGAACTCGGCCACAGCTTTCTGGACTTTCTTTTGCCCCGTTTTCCACAGGCTGTTCGCCGACTTGAGGAAACTTGAACCCACAGCTGCCGCGGTCTTGGCAAAATCACCATCCATGGAAGCTGGCGACCGGCTGTCGTTACGCCTAATGTCGTCGTCGCCATCCCTCATCCATGATGGTGTCCCGTTTCGAGATTGGCTCGGGGCTCGTTCGCCCCTGTCCCTGGGTTGTTCTTTCGCGCTGCCCCGGCCTTTTGTCTTTTCCTTCGCCTGCCTGTGGGCGTCATCCAACAGCCAATTGACGGCAGCTTGGACATCTAGCCCCGCGCCGCTCTCCGTAAGCCCTCTCCTGGCATTTTCTGGGGTGAAACCGTAGTCCACGAGTTGAGCGACAGCCTTGTCGAATGGGTCATCCGATGCGGCTGGTGGTTCAACCTCGGAGTCCGAGGAGGAATCTTCGATCGGCTTTCCTGGTTCAGGCTCCCGCGCAAAAGTCGGGGCCGCCTTCCTCCTGACTTGATCCACGGGCTTACCGAGGTCGCCCAGTAGGTCGTCATCCTCGTCCTCATGCCCGATAGCCTGTGGAGGAGGTTGGCTGGTTCTCGTTTGGAATTGGCTAAGCCCAAACGGATCATCATCGTCGTCGCCGCCGCTAGGACCTCCGCCGCCAGATGCCGCAGGCTGGCTCCAGGACTGCGGATTACCGAGGTCTAGTTTAGGTGCGTTCGCAGGAGGGTTGCTGGGCGGCACGGGCGGCGGGAAGTGGCTCGAGTTGTCGACTTTCGTGCTGGCACTGAACGCTGCGAATAAATCGTCATCCGACTCAGCTGGCGGCTTCCCCTGCAGTGATCCTGCACTAGGTCCCTGCACATATGGCGAGGCCGGTGTTGCAGGAGACGACGTTCTCAATGAACCAGATTGATTCTGGCCAAGGGAGTCAAAGAAGCGCCCATCTCCATAGTGTGCCTGTGTTTGCTTCCGTCGCTCCTCCTCTTTCCTTCTCTTCTCGGCCTCCAGCTGGTCTTGCCGCTCACGGAGGCTGAGATTCGCGTTGGTCTTACCGGGCCCGAAGCTGAGCAAGTTGCCGAAGCTGTCTTGTGCAACTTTGGGAGCTGGTGGTTTGGCGCCGATGCTGCCAGAACCTTGAGTGGACAGCGGGGTATTGCGGCCGGATGCGAACGGAGACGGGGACGGCCGCAGGGAAGGGTAAGCTGTTACCGCGGGGTTTGTCGGCGCCGATTGCGCACTGGCAGGCTTCCCCTGGCTGGGGGCCGACCAGTTCAGACCGGCGAGATCGTCCATTGTGTGGTCAGCAGTAGGAAATGCCAGCACCGCATTAGGAAATGAATGGGTGAATCTCCCAGGCGGGTCTTACGGCCACTGGATTTGGGATTGGAGCTTTTGTTTCGAAGAAGGGGAAGGTTGATGTCGCGCGCCACAGGGGCCTGACGCTAATCTGAGGTTCAGGGTTACAAGGGTTCAGATTGTGGAGTGACAGAATGGAAGCCCAAGTGTGGCACAGTGCAGTCTCCATCTTGAAAGTGTGGCGTCAAGGACGCTTGCCGAGCCTGACACCAAGTGTGCCAAGCCTTCCCTTCAGAATTCAACATTTGCATGGCACGTGCATGGCGATCTGGAAACTGTCCTCCCCACCCGCAAGCAGGGGAAGATGTGCCCATCGCAATGCAGCCTCAGCAAAGGGGACCGGCAACGGTCGATCTTCATCCATGCAAACGGTGGAAACTCGCGCGAGTCACTCTTGTGCCCAGTTCTTTAAATGCGCCGAGAGCGCATGATGTTTTCCGCCCGCCTGACCTGGGGCGCCATGTTTGCGAGTTGCCGATCGGATGATCCGTTTAATAAGGTTAATGATTGCGCCGGTTTTCGGTCGCCAAACGTTGCTGTCAAGACGTCAATCACAAGGAAGACGCAAGGCGAAGCAGGGTAAAATGGGGTGCTTCAGGAGTCGGAATTCCGTCGCAGAGCATGCCCCATGTTCAGAGGTGCGCTTGGCTCTCTCCAAACTCTGCAAGGCTGCTGGCGCATCAGTCGCAACATTTTCCAGAACCACGGAAAGGGGCAGCCAACGGATGTCAGGGTCCCCCGGCAATGCCCAGCAGCGCCCAGCAATTTGTGTTTGGCACTACGATTGGCTCACCGAGCATTTGGGTGGGATTTCACCCTGAAAGATGTTAGCGCAGACCAAGCCTGAAACAGTTTCAGGCGGCGTTGGCGCTCGTCCGATCCTGGGGAGCCCCTTCCCATTTCACCTGATGTGCATACCCCGCTCCCCAACGGCGGTCTGGCGCGCCACTGATGAAGTCACCTCACTTCCCGTTGCTCACGTCCACGTTTGACATGTTCAGGGACACAACCGAATTGCCTTCCATACTCGGCCGTCCCTCACCCGCCTTGGAAAAAGCGGGCGCATCCGAGGCGCTGGCCGAGGGCGACAGGATGAGTTTGCCGGACACGGGCTGCCGTGACTGGAGGCCCCGTTGAACAAGCCACACCGTGATGGTGAAGTGCGACCGAGTGGTGAGATGCAGATGGTCGCGGGTGGAGTGGTTCGCGCATCCCTCGAGATTATTCGTCCCACGCAGAGATGGACCAACAAAATGAACCAACAACGCGAGCGGGCGAGCGCAAATCATTTTATTTCTTGGAGCATCCATCGGCGGCGTCATTCATCATTCATACCCGGGTTAAGTTGGCAGGGATCTCCCTAACCCCAAGTGGTGTGGCGGCTACTTCCTCGGAAAAGCGGCTCAGTTGAAGTGCTGTTCCTGCGTTAGCCAGGAACCGCGCCCCCACAAAACACATCCCTGGAGCGTCCCCTTAATCGAGGTCAGACCCGGCTGGCCAACCAGAGGCCTTCTTTTTCTAGCTAGGTGCTGCTTCGGGAAAGAGCGTCCTGCAGAACCCCGGCAAGGGGCGTTTCCTTGGCTGCCCTTGGCTGCCCTTCCCCGTCCTGCAGAATGCCATGCCAGAACACAGAGGGGCACCGCAGCAAATCCACAGGGTACCAATTTGGGTTATCTTTGGGCGCATGTCACACTCCTCCCTTCCGCTCCCTTTTCTCGCTTTTTGCGCCTTGTCTGCTTTCCCCAACCCTTCTCTTGACTCCGAGTCTTCCAACCCGCAACACTCACTTTCGCGGTTTTTCGACTCCCCAACTTGGGGCCCACGTTCCTTACTTTTCGGCGACGACGATATCGATCATTCATTTCGCGTTTTTGTGTTGATCGCCAACTTTCGTTTCTTGGTGCGATCGCAATCTGCCGCTCAACGAGGTTATCCGCCCGAGTTCAAGCATCGCAACTACCGATACTCCACCGAATCGAGAATAGGGGGATTGGGTTTTGTGTGCGCAAGCAGCATATCAGGTACGCGAGGAGGCTCCCGGGTCACAACTTGGTTAGTCTTGTGAACCAGACGGCTGTAAACTGTCATCCGTGGTCGGGTTTCGAGGCCTGTGCCTGTGGTTCGTGACAATTTACGTTCGCCTCAGGTCGTCTGGCCAAACTGGTACGTTGAGCCCTTGGGAAACCAGCAATAAAATAACCCCACCACTTTCTCCCTGTCTTCTCTTATTCCACAAGCAACGAGCTGGCGCTGTTTCCCTTCTTTTTTTTTCCATCCCAAGTCAACCAACCTTAGTGGTCACAACGGCAACAACCCCGCCTTCTCTTTTTCTCAATCTCTCGCTTCCATCAACTCAAAACAATGATTTAAATCGAGGGTGGCAGTAGGGCTAACAATTTCTTTCCTACCAGACCGGCGATAGCCCCCGACTTTCGCAAAACATCACACTCACTCTTTTTACCAGTTGGCGATTTTACCCGAGACAAAGTTTCGCCAGCATCAATTCCAACCGTTCCACGATCATTCACCCAGATTAAACTTAACCATCGAGTCACTCCTTTACAACCTTCAACATGAAGACCGGCACTTCGCTCGCCGCAATCCTTGCATCGCTGGGCGGCGCTCATGCCTTTTGGCGCATGGAATGCCGAGGCCAAGTCGGCCTTGCCCGCCTTGACCCTCTGATTGACCCTGGTGTCCCCTCAAAGCATGCCCATGCGATTCACGGCTCCTCTGGTATGTAATGCTCATGAAGTTTTAAAAAACAAAACGAATAAAAAACGTACATTGATTTTTGGGCGTTGTCGTTAACATCAATTCACCTGCAGGTTTCAGCGCGAGTTCGACGTTCGAAGACCTTCGCAATGCCGACTGCACCTCATGCGCTGTGGCTGAAGACATGTCGGTGTACTGGGCTCCGGCTGTTTACTTCAAGCATCTCAATGGCACCTACCAGGAGGTTAAGCAGGACGGCGGCATGCTGGCGTGGGTTTCCATAATGCCGCAGAATCTTCGGAACACTTGACGCTGACAGATATATAGCTACTACTTCCTGAACTACGACCTGAAGGATACCAAGAAGGGAATCAAGGCGTTCCCTAACGATTTCCGCATGGTCGCTGGTGACTCCAACCGCCGCAACTACTCAGTCGGCGGCCTCGACTATCGCCAGCCCGACCCGCCCAAGTCAGACTGGGGTCGCATGGGCCAAACCAACCAGCATGATCTCGCCCAGCGCGCTCTTGGTTTCAACTGCCTCAACTACGATGCCGATCCCGAGCCTGCTTTGTACCGCCACTATCTGCCTGACAAGGCCTTCCTGGACTCCAAGTGCAAGCACGGAGTTCGCTTCGAGCTGTCGTTCCCCTCTTGCTGGAACGGCAAGGACACCAGCTCTCCGGACCACAAGTCTCACGTCGCGTACCCTGACACAGTTCTTAATGGAAACTGCCCTGAGGGTTTCGATGTGAAGCTGCCGGGTCTCTTTTTCGAGACTATCTGGAGGACCCATGACTTCGTCGGTGTACCGGGCGGAATTTGTCATTTCCAACGGTGATGTCGAAGGTATGTACAGCAAGTTGGATTTTGAATCAATTTACATGCTAACTTGCATTTGCTAGGTTTCGGCTACCACGCTGACTTCATCAGCGGCTGGGAAGAGGACTTCCTCCAGTCCGCCGTCGACCAATGCACCAACGCCAGTGGACAAATCTCCGACTGCCCCCTCTTCACGATCCTCAGCGCTGATGACCAGCGGAAGTGCAAGATTGCCACTCCCCCCATGATTGCCAGCGAGAAGCTCTCCGGCCTGATTGGTGATATCCTCCCTGGAAATGTCAAGATCAGCCTCGGCCCTGCCCCCGCGAACCACAACCAGCCCAAGCCGGACCCGATCCCGCTCCCTGTTCTGTCGGTGCCGGTGCCTAATGTGCTCCCTGGCGGCGTGTTCAAGGAGGAGCCTACCTCGAGCCCTGAGGCCGAGTCCACCACCACTCCTTCCTCCACCTCTACCCCCACCCCTACCCCGACCCCAACCCCGTCGGACCCTCCTATCCCCAAGGGCTATGAGCTTGTCCGCACCGACTACGTTACCAACGGCAATGTGGTCAGCAAGATCGTTGTCATCGAGACGATCGAGTACGTCATGATGGCCACCGAGACGGTCACCGTCACGGCCACCCCCGGTGCCGACAAGGCTCGCCGTGAGCTCAACCAGCACAAGCACCAGCACCAGCACCTGCAACGCCACCGCCATGGCGTGCACCACTAAACGTGCGGGCGAAGCCCCTGGCTTGCCTGGTGCGGCCGGTCCTCTCTAGGACACTCTTTGTTGCACATATGGGATGAGCTCATGGCTATGTTTCTTTTTCTTGTTCCCATTCTACTTCTTTGCTCTCGGGCATCTTGATTCGACCTTGGAATTTGGGCTTGGGAGGTTGACGAGCGGTTGGGGGTATTTGGGGGTTAGTGGAGATGTTTCACGCCGGCCCAGGTTTTGTCGTGGATCGATGGTCCGGGGGCACCGAATGAAAGGGAGTCTTTTATCATCTCCAGAATTGCAGTTGCGGCAATGCATTGACCGCTTCCGCCTGCGCGTTACGGATCGTGCATCGGTTTCAGGTGTTACTCGGAAGTGATTCAAGATACCACCTCTATCACAGGTCCTCGGTCCCCAAGCTTTCACTCAAGTTCTCGTGATTATGTCCGGGGGTCTATGTCTCTTCTAAGTGTGGTTACCAATGAGCAATGCCCCCGTCAGTGACTCGTGACCGTTCACAGCCTCAAAGTAACAACATCTTACCAAACCAGCTCGCTCTACCCCATCCATCCATGTCAACAAATAAAACAATGGGCATATCGCCTGGCCCTCTCGGTAATTGAGACATTCTAACATCCACATTACTCAACAGGATAAGTGAGTACAGCACGGCCGGGCTGGAATGGGGTCACTCATCACAACCCATTCCAACCTAGACTGGTCCACAGGCCAGCCGGCCATACCACCCGCCATGCAAAATTCCAGTCACGCTGGGCAAGGTGGTGTTATGACCTGATTCCAAATATCTTGGTCTCCTCGTCTTCCGCTGTCCCCGTCCAACCATCCCCAACTAACTTCGCAGCGTTTGAATCCGCTCCAACAAACACGTCCATGCAGGGTCGTCGGGGGCTAACCACTCCACCAACAACCCATCAACAACGCAGAAGCCCCTAAAGAAAGACGACAAGACTAACATCAGCAGCAACCAACCGACCCAACAGCAACAAGCAGATAGTCACACACCCTTACCCCAACCACTAACACCACCCAACACAACACAACAGACACAATGACCAACCCAAACTCCTTCCCCTCCACCACCACCACCCTCATCACCGACGCCCCACCACCCAACACCCCAAACCAACCCAACAACAACAACAGCAGCAGCAGCAGCAGCAGCGGCGGCGGCGGCGGCTCCATCATCGACTCCTTCCCCACGCTCTTCCCCCTTGTCATCGCCGGCGCCTGCGTGCTCGGCCTGATCCTCGCCTTCCTCATCATCTGGTTCACGCGGCGGGCGGCGCCCGCCTCTGCGCCCAACCATCCCGCAAAGGCGGTGGTGCCGACGACGCGGTGCTGCTCAGTCCCGAGGAGCAGCAGCGCGCGGTCGTCGGGCGAGGGTGATGATAAGGGGGGGGGTGGTGGGTTGGGTGGGTCGGCCAGGAGGAAGTTGCAGAAGGCGTGTTCGGTGGGCGCGGAGCCCGTGTGGTGGGCGCGGGAGGGGGGCAGTGGGTTGTTGAGTGATGATGAGGATGGGGAGGGCCGCGGGTGGCCGAGGAGGCATGTTAGTTTGCCGTTGATTCCGAGGGCGTGTAGTAAGGGGCATTTTCATTTTGGGGTGGGGGGTGGGATTGGGGGTTCGTCGTGTCGGTGGCCGGGGAGGGGTGGAGTGGATATGGGGGAGGTGAAGGGGGTGGGGAAGCGGAAGCCGGCGTGGATTGATGAGGATGCGTTGCATGGGCCGAAGGTTAGTGGTGGTGGGAAGAAGAAGAATAAGGGGCGCGGGTCCTGGCCGTTGAGGAACCGCACGCCGACCCTGCCGAGGGTGCATCATACTGTTCATGGGTACCCGTATATGATGTCGGGGGCGAGGGGTGAGTCGTCGGAGGCATTGCTGGGTGAGAGTCGACCGAAGACAGCGACTGGGCTGGAGTATGCCCAGCTACGGGCATCCTCGAGGGATCTTCCTCAGCCTCCCAAGCCTGCTCTCGTTTCCAACAGGGAGAGGCGCACCATCAGACCATCGGTTACCATGGGGTATGTGTACGGCGCCTCGAAGATCCCAACACCGTTCTTGAGTCCTCCTGCCAGCCCGGTTCAGTCTGCTCCGACCACGCCGCAGAGACATAGGGGTCGGCAGCGGTCGACTGATTCGACCTTGACTGATATCTTGAGATCGACCGAAGAGCGGCTACGAGAAGGGAGCGTTTCTGGTACAACTAGAATCCGGAGGGCTACCGCATCACCTACTAGGGCGTCACCTGGCAAGGTCTTTGGCCCCAGGGAATACGGGGTGCCGGTATCTCGCGCGAGAACCCCGAGCCCAAGCAAGATCGTTACCGGGGAGCCCTTCACCCCTGGCCACAGGCGGCAAACCTCGCGGCAGTCTGTTTCTTCAGATAGTGACAGCCTTGTGGGCGAGCAACGCCCAGTTTCGGATGTTCCATCAGGGCTCACAAGCCCGAGCCGGGCGCAGAAGAAACAAGAACCCGAAAGACAACTGCTTCCGGCGCAGTCAACCCGCACTTCGCTCTCGTCTGAGCTCTCCACGCTATACAGCGAGGATGAAATGCCAGACGAGGTCAAGCGGGCCATCATGCCCCTCGAGGGCCTCGTGGTGCAGCCCCAACAAGCTACCAAAGTTCGCCCCCCGTCGATAAACGACCCGTTCGTCAGCGCGCCCCTCGCGCTGTCGGTCTCCCGGGCGGCATCCGTCGGCGGCTGGCCGACTAAGCATAGCAAGTCCCAAGACCTCCTACGGCAAAGCGTGCAGCGATCACAACGGCTGCGCAGTATGACGGTTGGTCACACCCGTGCTCAGTCTCAGGGTCTGATCCTGGCACCTGGTCCTGCGATCCACAGACCAAAGGCGGGTGTGTTGCCGAGTATCTCGCCCTCGCGCAAGGAATCGGTGATCATCCCCCCATCTATGCAGCCGTACATTGTATCGAGGGCTTCGGAACCGCCGCCGTCCCCAACCAGGCAGTCACTTACGGGCAACAGCCCGAATAAACCGCTCTTCCTCCGAGTAACCAAGACCAGCACGCTAAGCACCATTCCCTTGCTCCCACCGCCATCAGCCCCAAGCATCGACATATTCAGCAAGGCAGAGTCTAAGCAGCACTCACCGAGTAAAACAGCCACCATAACCGGGCAGCAGCAGCAGCAGCCAGAACGCCGCTCCAAAATCCTACTGCTCTCATCCACGGAGCGCTCCAGCGCGCCGGCCTCCCCAACCCGGCGCGTAGGCGGAGAACTACGCCTATCCCTCATCCTACCGCCCAAACCACTCCAAGGCCTCCAACACCAGCGCGCCAGCGCCTCCTCGTCAGTCTACTCGCAGGAAGCCAGCCCCACCACAACCACCGCAACCGCCCAAACAGCCATCGAACTCAACCGGGCCAACTTCCGCGCCAACTCCTCGCTCTACCCAGCCCCCCTCTCCCCACACCCCCAACAAAAACAAAACAACCCCAACCCCTCCTCCGAACTCCCCCTCGACAACAACAACAACAACACCACCACCACCATCACCACCACCACCACCCCCCCACCACCAACCACCACCAACCCCCCAGACAACGACGACGAAGACACCCCCCTCGCCCTAACCGCCACCATCACCTCCCTGCGCCGCATGAACAGCGGCCTGAGCACCGTGTCCAGTCTGCTGAGCATTGCGGACAGGGATCTGAGTCCTAGTCCCAGTCCGAGTCCGAGTCCGGATAGGGTGTCGGGGATGGCGGTGAGCGGGGTGGTTGGTGAGGATGGCGGTGGTGCTGCTGGCGATGGTGGTTCGCCAGAGCGGTTTGGTGGGTTTGGTGGGTTTGGTGGGGGAGGCGGAGGGGAGAGTCCCCGGTCGAGGCGGAAGAGTATTGGGACGAGGAATTATTATATTCTGGGGGGTGGGAACGGGGTGTCGTCGCGGAGGGGGAGTCGGGTTGTGAGCTGTGGTGGTGGTGGTGGGGTGGGTGGGATTGTGAAGTCGCCTAGTGGTGGGAGGTGTGAGTGGGAGTGGCGCCGGCGGACCGCCGTCTAAGAGGCGGCGGCCGGGGGGCATGCATCATCACCATCACCAGCGGAGGTCGAGTGCCGTGCTGAGACTGTCGCAGTCGGAGTTTGCGGCTGTCGGTGAGGAGGGGAAGGAGAATAGCACGGGGATGGGGGGGTTCAAGGTGGCAGCGGGGGAGTTTACTTTTGAAGTGAGCAATCCTAATGTTTCGGGGAAGGGCGGGCTTGGGTTGAGGGAGGGGAGCAGCGGGAGTGTGAATGCACTGGTGATGCCGCAGCAGAAGGACTCGCAGAGACTATCCCTTGCGTGGAGGCCAGCGGAAGGGGGTGCCTCGAGGAATGGCTCGCCGGCGAGGTTCAACGGCAGCCCATCGAGGCAGAGCATGAGGAGTGTGGAAATGTTTGGGCTTGTATGATCGCCAGGGATTCTTGATCTCGGCGTCGCCGGTGAGGGGAGTGAGTCCGTCGGGGCTGAGGGTGTGATGAAGATTGACAGTTCCATTTTCTTTGTTGACTCGGATTTGAGACTTTCTATTTTTATTCTTCGAAATAATATTTCAGTAGCCTAGGTAGGAAAGCGAAAACTTAGTTGATGAAGAGAAGCATGTCGAAACAGTTGAAGCTGTTAGTCAGTGAATTAAAATAAACGTGAATAACCTTGGCAGTTGGCGCCAGCTGCCTGTTGGTCAACCTCCCCTCTCAAACACCACCAGGCATCATTCATCTCACTCACAACTCACCACTAACCACTCACCAAACAAACACC